CCCATTCAAGATTAGCTCCAGCCATAAAATTACTGATGACTGCATTGAACCAGATAAACGAATCAATCCAAGATAATGACACCCAGGAATCTGAGTATTCTGAGCTGGAACGCTAGGTCGTTCCTCTCGAATCACTCAGCAATAATAAACTACGCTAATAACTCGAACATCGATATACTCTTAATTAGCGAGACCTGGATCCGTCCTGGAGTAAGGGTCTCGACGCCAGGCTACAGAGCCATACATAACCGTAGGGATGACGGAAAGGGTGGAGTATCTATCCTCCTCGCCAAGAAATACAACTGCCCCATGCACATTCCCATGTTCGTGCATCCTAGACTGGCTCAATTTGCTACCATTCGGATTGCGGGCATCGAGATCGTCGCTGTTTACATACCTCCGGACGTTTACTTCAATAGAGGTAGCTGGGACCGGTTAATCGGCACATTGAATCCTCCATTTATTCTTGCGGGTGACTTTAACGCCCATCATACATATTGGGGTCATAACGGGGATAATAGGAACGGTCGCGAGTTGGCCTACACAATGGATAAACACAACCTGGTTATCATCAACGATATGCGACCAACTAGGATCGCTTTTCCGAGGACTAGCCTGCTGGATCTTGTCCTGGTGTCCGCCGATCTCGTTACCTCCTCGTCGTCGCGTACATTGGATGATTCACTGGGCAGCGATCATTTGCCCGTCCTGTCGAACGTCTCTCTAGGCCCCCATCAGACGCCGGAACCTAGCCGCAGTACTACTCAAAGTACGCGTCTGAAGTACAACAAAATCAAATGGGAGGACTACCGCTCACAGGTCTCGGAGGAAACGGCTCAAATCCCGGAGTTTACCATCGATTCGTTGTCCGAACTACTGCTCCGAGTTGCAAAGAAGTGCTCCCCTCAGACTGTTAACAGAGGTTTCTCCTACAAACCACCCTGCCCCTGGTGGGATGCGGAGTGTAGCGCTGCGACGGAAAGAAGGAGAAGATTCCTTAGGATCTTCCACCACACGGGCAAACTCGAACACCTAATTGCGGCCAGGAGGGTCATGGCGGAGACGCGTCGTCTCCTGAAACAAAAGAAGAGGGATAGTTTCAAAGAGTTCTGCGAATCCTTGGGCAGGGAATCCCCCTCTACACAGGTGTGGAAAAGGATCAGGGTTTTTAATAGAGGAGTCACTGGGGAGAGGTCGCTTGGATTAAATGAACAGCTGTGGAGAGATCCCTTCCTTAAAAAGCTCACCCCAGAGGAACCTCAACTGCCTATTGAAATACTGGATCCTGCCCCCTACGAGGAAGATGATACCCTTAACCTCCCAATTAGCTCGGAGGAATTGGAGCGTGTTCTCTGCAGATCCAAGGACACGGCTGTGGGTCAGGACGAGATCTCGTATGGCATGTTGAGGAATCTAGACGAGTACAGCAGAGGGATTTTGTGCGCTCTTTTTAATGACGTGTTGCTCTCGGGGATAGTGCCGTGCAGCTGGAACAGAGCTACCGTCGTTCCTATTCTTAAGGGCAATCTACCACAAGACCAGGCATCCAGCTATAGACCTATCGCTCTGATCTCTTGTGTGAGGAAAACTTTAGAATCGATCATCAAAAACAGGCTAGAGCGGTGGGCTGAGAGCAGAGATCTGTTTCCGCCTAACGTCACAGGCTTCCGCAAGGGTAGAGGCGCAGCTGACAACCTATACACTCTAGTTGCGGCTATTTACAGTGGTCTGGCTAGAAAGGAACATACTTTAGTGTGCTTTATTGACATCAAGGCAGCTTATGACAATGTCTCTATCACCTGTCTTCAGAACATCCTTGTAGACCTTAGACTTCCGTCTCGACTCGTTAATCTTATCTCAGCCCTAGTTACCGAAAAGGCCCTCCACCTTGTCGGTGCGGACCCGTCGCAGGCCAGATACTCATACAAGGGCCTTCCCCAGGGTAGCCCTCTTAGCCCGCTATTATTCAATGTATATGTTAGAGGAATCAACGGATTAGTCGGTGACGGAGTACAGGCTCTTATCTACGCGGACGACATAGCCCTAGTCACTACCGGGAAGAACATAAACTCGTTGGCTATACGCATGAACGCGTCACTTGGCCGTCTCCAAGAGTTTCTGGATTTCAGGAACCTCTCCCTGGTCCCTGATAAGACTAAGTGCATGCTGTTCTCAAGAAAGAGACGCCTTCTTGACCCTCTTATTAGAATAGGAAGCTCGATAGTCAGAGTGGTCGATTCACATAGATTCCTCGGAATATGGATGGACGATAAGTTGACCTGGAACAAACAGGTGGGCAGCTTGGGTCGTTCCTGTATGCAGGGACTCAACATGATGAGAGCGGTGTCAGGTAGAGATTGGGGAGGGGAACCGAGTACCCTCTTATGTTTCTACAGGGCCTTTGTTCTGTCCAGACTGGATTACGCGTGCTCCATATACTCCTTTTGTCCGGGAACATCTCTGGCGGCTCTGGACAGGATTCAAAATCAGGCGCTTCGGATCTGCCTGGGAGCCCTCAAGTCAACACCAATCAACGTGCTCCATTCTGAGATGGGTATTCCGCCTCTTCGGTTAAGAAGGATGAGATTGACCGCTCAATACGTGATTAAATGTAGAGCTATGGGCCCAACCTGTGTCCTCCCAGCCATTCGACAAGCCGCAGACGCCTTCCGGTCTTCACCCTTCTGGACATCCAGAGGAACCCCACTGCTGGTGCAGGAGTGGTTGGGTTCCGAAGCCGTATCCACGATCATCGCTCCAGGAATCCTATCAGACGTTCTCTCGG